CACAAAAAAAAAAGAATAATTGATAAAATAATTTAAAAAATTAATACTCAATTAATTGAATAATTGACCTTGATTGATTAATTAATCTACATCCAATCAATTACTTCTAAAATCTAATTCACTACTGATTGAACTGCAATTAATATAGCCTTAAAGTAAGCTCAATTAAAGAACAAAAATCTAACTTATTCAATTTAAAATTAATTATGCTTATCAAGAAACTATTTAATCAATCAATAATGATAACCCAATTTGAAGGAAGTTCCACAAAGGTAATGATTTAGTAACACTAGGTAAAACACAAAGAGGCTGGGGTCAAAAATGGGGTCAATGAAAAATTAAATGATCAAAATTTAACTAATAAGAAATTAGCACAAATGATCAAATTAAACAGATAATTAATGGAAAACAAACCTAAACTACTCAAATAGGGAATGCCCAAACAAGCGTGAAAAGCTGTATTACCTCTATTAAAAAATAAAGGACTACTTCCCAAACCAAACCCTAATCAAGTTAGTATCAAATTAATTAAATAGAAGAAAGAGAAATATTATGATGGTAGTGGCTTATGGAACCAAAATATCGGGTATCAACTAAAACAAATCAAAAATTAACTTATATTAATCCAAAATATGAGTGAGTAACCAAAATGAAAATAACTAAAAAATCTACCTCTATTAAAATAAAAAAAATTAACCAATGTAATAAAAATGTCAAATGAAATCAATGAAAATGAAAATAAAAAGCAACAGAACCAGTACTAAATGATAGATGCAGTTTAAACACAAAATAATTCACATCATTATAAGTAGGATGGTTGCTGTTAGGCTTGATTTAGTAATGCAAATAATTACAATCGCTACATTTAAGTGTTATTCGGCCACTAATACATTGTTATCACAATGACGTGCCACTGAAACACTACAACAAACAATGGACACCACTTCACAGGGATACTAACTGCACAATTACAATTATACAGGTAGAGCGGAAGCTTTGCACAAATTACACCCAATATTATGCTAGTGGTTAAACACACAAACAATCAATTATTGGGTGAGCAACTGTTACACACAGAAGCACAAATAAGGGCCAAGTCAATATAACATGAGACGGCACACACAAACACAATCACTAGACAGGAGGTAATACAATGATTAGCGAAACATAAAGCAACACAATACATGGGGATAAAAATTGTGTATACTTATCACTTGCTGCTCGACCTCCTTTAATTCCGCCGTCCACTGCAATTAACTAATGCCTGTACACATCCAGAAATGAAAGAATTAAATGCGTAGAGTCCGATTTCAAAATAATATAGTGAACACAGTTACAATTGTCACTGTCCGTTTAGATCATGAAAGTCCTTGAATTCTGATTGACCACTGTCTCCGAATGAATACAAGGCCTCCGCTGTGGTGGATCTCATCACACGCAATAATTATGGACCGGTGAATTACGAAGATGCACTCGCACATCAGTAACACCAGGGGATCGCATCGGAGAATCTTATTTCGGAATCACCAGGGAATCGCATAGAAGAATCGCATCTCGGAATCACCAGGGAATCGCATCGGAGAATCGCACCTCGGAATCACCAGGGAATCGCATCGGAGAATCGCACCTCGGAATCACCAGGGAATAGCATCGGAGAGTCGCACCTCAGAATCATCAGGGGATAACACCGGGAAGTTGCACCTTGGAATCATCAGGGAATAGCCTACTTCAAGAAAGTTACACCTCAGAATCACCATGGATTACCTCACTAGGGAGTAATACCGTGAAATCGCATCTGAATCACCAATCTATCGGAGATCAGTCTGTAAGTCAGTTTTCATTGTAGCTCCACACTATGGAGAAGCGGAGAAGGATATCGATGAACCTCCTCTCAGAACCACCTTTACTATTATAAGTCCGCAAAGTGGATATTTTGGAGCTCAATTTCCGATACACCAAGATGTGATAATCTCAGATCGGCGAATAGTTAAGAAAAATCTTTATTCGTACTATCTACACAGCCGATCACTGGTGTATCTCACTTTGAATTACGCGCCAACCGCTTTTATAGTCCAGGGTCACATGACCCACGTCAGGGGCGGATCCAGAGCTATTTACTGACAGTCTTCCAAATTATCTTTGTTGATTCATCCTTCAATTTTGACCGTCTTCCAACATGAAAAATTGGATACCCGTCAATGTAAACTTGAAAATCTGACCGTCTTCCGGAAGACCCAGAAGACGGCCTAAATCCGCCCCTGCACGTGACATAAAAAGAGCGCTAACACCACTATGCATATTCATATCATATATTTATATACAAGAGCTATTTATAATAAGGCACTTATATTAATGTAAGCTACAATATACTATTACGTATATATATATATATATATATATATACCTGTGAATACATAAAATACATGTACCCTATTACATATATAATGACAAAGAAGATGAATTAGGCCTACACCTGACAAGCAAAACTACAGCACTGTCTCCACGGGTGGACTGCATGAATAGAGAAACTCTCTCCACGAAAACGCAGTAGACTACTGCAATCACTCTGCAAGTTAACTCAAATCTGCTTCGATTTGAAGTATGGATGAAGTATATAATCCCCAGAAGTAGCACTCTACAGCAACCTGCTTCTCAAAATCACAGTAGACATGAAGCATAATGCTTCACTGCAGTAGTACATCACTGCATTTCTACTCTGCTTGCAGCAGTTTCGAAGTAGCATGCGTT